TTACAATGTTGTGTCAATTTCTGGTGTACAGCACAATACTTCAGTCACATAGAAACATACATTCGTTCTCATATTCTTCTTCACCATAGGTTACATTAGTATTTGCAAATCTCCAACTCCCAATTTATCCCTTCTCATCCCCTACCCCCAGTGGTAACCATAAGTTTGTTTTCTATGTCTGTGAGTCTGTTTCTGTTTTGTAAATAAGTTCTTTTGTCTTTTCTTTTAATTTTTTTTTTAGATATCACATATAAGTGATATCATGTGGTATTTTTCTTTCTCTGGCTTACTTCACTTAGAATGACATTCTCCAGGTTCATGCATGTTGCTGCAAATGGCATTATTTTATTATTTTTTATGGCTGAGTAGTATTCCATTGTATAAATATACTACAACTTCTTTATCCAGTCATCTGTCAATGGACATTTAGATTGTTTCCATGTTTTGGCTACTGTAAATAGTGCTGCTGTGAACATTGAGATGCATGTGTCTTTTTGAATTAAGGTTCCCTCTGGATATATGTCCAGAAGTGAACAGTGCCTGGGACTAGCAGATACTCAGAAAACATTTGAATGAATGTATGAGCCATTTCCTGCTCTGTCTGAAAGTTCTGGTTTGATTATAACAGTGTCTTCAAATTGCTTCATGTAACACCCAAAATAATTTTTTGTACATGTGTACCCCTTTTTACAGCTAGCTGTAAGTCAGCATTTTATATTTTTTATCGTAAGTTCAGATAGAGTTGCATAGGATATGATTTTTGGCATATTGTAAATATTGTGTTTAAATAAAATTGTTACATTACTCTTAAAAATACCACAGCAATTTGATACCTGTCAGTATCATTTAAAATATGTACACACAAGTTCTTATTTATAGTCATTTTTCATCATTTTCTTTTCTTGAAAAGAGACTTTCCATTTATTTCTTTTTCACTTTCATCCATAGATTTCTCCTTAGTCTAATACTTTTATGCTTGAAATAACTTATTAATCATCTTATTACACTTGAAACAAAAATATGTACTTATCTTTTATGGTAAAACATTCAGAAAACTAGGAATAGAAGGAAACTTCCTTAACTCGATAAAGGGCATTGATGAAAAACTACAGCTAACGTTGCATTTTATTATACATTATTAATTGTGGAAAACTGAAAGCTTTTCCCCTGAGATCGGGAACAAGACAAAGATACCTACTTTTGCCACTACTATTCAACATTATATTAGAAGGCCTAGCCAGAGCATTTGGGCAAGAGGAAGAGAAGGTATCCATGCTGGAAAGGAAGAAGTAAAAGTTTTTATTTGCAGATGACATGATTCCAGAAATAGAAAACTCCAAAAAATCTTCATGCACCAGAAAACTAGTTATCAGTGAATCCAGCAAAGTTGCAAGTTTCAAGATAAATACTTAAAAAATCAGTTGTGCTTTTTATACTAGCAATGAAAAATATAAAAACAAAATTAAATATGTCATTTTCAGTAGCATCCTAAAGGATAAAATACCAAGGGATAAATTTAACCAAGGAAGCAAAACACTTTTTTACACTGAAAACTACAAAAAATTACAGAAAGAAATTCCAAGTTTACGGATTTCAAGACAATGTAGTTAAGATGGCCGTACCACCAAAAGTGATCAGCAGATTCAGTACAGTGGCTATCAAAATTCCAAATGCCTTTCTTGCAGACATGGGAAAGTTGAACCTCAAATTCATATGGTATATAACAGGTCCCAAATAGCCAAAAACATACTGAAAAAGAAAAACAAATTTGGAGGACTCACAGTTCCTGATTTGAAAACTTAACTACAAAGTTATAGTAATTACAGTGTGGTATTGTTATAAATTCTATAGAGTTAGGCATGAATCAGTGGAATAGGATTGAGAGTCCAGAAGTAAACCTGTACATCTGTGGCCACTTGATTTTCTATAAGGCTGCCGAGATCATTCAGTGGGAGGAGGATAGTCTTTTCAACAAATGGTGCTGGAGCAAGTGGATGTCCACACGTAAAGAAATGGAGCTGGGCCCCTACCTCACTTCATATGCAAAAATTAACTCAGACTGGCTCAAAGACCCAAAGTGTTTGAACTAAAACCATAAAACTCTTAGAAAAAAACATAGGGGTAATCCTTCATGACCTCATATCTGTCAATGGATTCTTAGCTATGACACCAAAAGCATAAGCAACAGAAGGAAAAATAGACAAATTGAAATTCATCAAAATTAAAAGCTTTTGTGGATCAAAGGATATTATCAAGAAAGTGCAAAGATAACCTATAGAGTGGGATATTATATTTGCAAATTATATATCTGATGAGAGTCTATGCTGAGAATATGTGAAGACCTCATACAACTCAACAACAAAAAGACAACTGAACTTTAAAACGGATAGAAGAAAAAAATAGACATTTCTCCAGAGGAGATACACAAATGATCAACAAACATATGAAAAGATAGTCAACTTCATTGGTCATTAAGGAAATGCAAATCAAAATCACAATGAGGTGATTTGTTTAAGCACATCCAACAGATTGACTGTAGTCAAAAAATTGGAAGATAACAAGCATTGGCAAGGATGTGGAGAAATAGAAACCCTTGTATATTGCTTGTGGGAATGTAAAATGGTGAAAAGAGTTTTGGAGTTCCTCAGAAAGATAAAATAGAATTACCATATGTGAGCAATTCCATTCCTAGGTATATATGCAAAAGAATAGAAAAAAGGTACTCAAATACTTGTTCACAGATGTTCATAGCAGCATTATTAACAGTCACCAAGACATGGAAACAACCCAAATGTCCATCAGTGGATGAATAGATAAACAAGTCATGTGGTATGTACATACAATGGAATATTATTCAGCCATAAAAAGGACTGAAGTATTGATAGATGCTGCAACATGGATGAACCTTAAAAACACTATAGTAAATGAAAGACTCCAGACACGAAAGGCCACATACTGTATGATTTCTTTTGTATGAAATATCGAAAATAAGCATATCGAAAGACATAAAAAAGCAAATTAGTTGACAGGGAATGGAGGGAATGGGGGAGGGTAGATACAGGGGAGGATTATTTACCGGGTGTAGTGTGTTCTTCTGACACGTTGAAAAAGTTATGAGACTACATAGAGTTGGTGATTGCACAACATTGTGAAGGTACCAAGTGCCACTGAATTGTACATTTTAGAATGGCTAAGTGTAGGGGGTTAGGGTATAGCTCAAGTGGTAGAGTGTGTGCTTAGTATGCACGAGGTCCTGGGTTCAATCCCCAGTACCTCCTCCAAAAAAAATAAGCCTAATTACCCCCCCAAAATTAAAATAATAGAATGGCTAAGTGTAGTTTATGTGAATTTCACTTAAAATGTATGTAAATCTAACATTAATTTTTTAAATATATAACCATATAGTTTTAAGTGCTTTAACATTTTGTTTGGGTAGAGTTATTATAGTTGTTGCCTCATAAATGTTTTATAGATTTTGTTAAATAATGATTTTAATTAAGTCATTAAAAGTGAAATTTGTTGGAAATGTGTCTTCTCTTAATAGTATGGATTTTTTAATGCTGTTTAGTTCATGTGTCCATGGTTGAGTGTTAAAGCGGTCAGCATCAGTTCCATTCCTGTTCTATGTTATTGTTATTTTAACCTTAAATTCCACAACCATTGTTTATCGTAAAGGTGACCCTCGGTCCTTGTGATGGGCTTACTGGTAGGATTTCTGGTAACAGTCATGGGCACCAGGGTATCAGACTTCTGGATTTGCAGGGACAGGGGTCAGCTACCAGCAGGGTCCAGTCATACTGGATGAGGGTATCTTTGATCTTCTTGGGAGCCTATCTACATATTTCTGGTGATAGACCACCGGGGTTTTAGAGATGGGACTGGTGGATTGCGCGGGTCTAAGCTGTGTGACCCCCACCCTTCACATGGACACCAAGGTCCATGACAGCTAATTGCTCCTTGCCCAGAAGCAGAACCGGTGACGGTAGCATGTACTGCAGCCGTGCGTGGTTGGATCGTCTCTGGGGGTCACCGTTCATCTGATGAGACTGTTGCCCTCTTCGCAGTGTGCCACAGCGGTGGCCACCTTTTGCATCCAAAGACCTGGGCCAATAGCAGAGGGCTTCTGGATGCCATTGGTGCGGGTGTAGACAAGAGATCCTCATTGTGAGGCTCCTCACCTGGAAGAAAGCCCTATTTTATGTTTAATTAAACTCAAGTGCTGAGATACATTGTTAATATAAATAAGTAGATGGTAGTGGAAAGAATTTTTTTACGTCAGTGTCACTTAGTTCTTTGAACTTCTGTGTTGTATGCCAAAAAGCCCATATGGATTTAATGTAAAATTTAGTTTTAATGGTTTATCAAACTGACAACTCAGATTTTTCTTCAGTATTTTTGAAACTGAAGAATTAGGAAAAATGCATAAGAATTTGATAATCAGAGTCATTCACTGCTTTCTCAATGTCTACACTGCTATTTCTAGTAGGCTCTGTTTAGTGCTTCAGAGGTTTTTGCCTCTCAGGGAAATCTGTCATGGTAATAAGACACATAGGTTAGAGGAATATATTTCTTTGGTAAAATGGTAAAGCATTATTGTTAAAGGAGAGAAGGAAAAGGTGAACTCTTATGATGCAGGCAGAGTAGTTTTTAAAATAATTATGTATAGAAGTTGAAAATCTTCTGATGCTCAGAAACCTCTCATAGCCCATGTACCTCTTGAAAAGTCTTTATATACCTGCAGGGTCCTGAACTCTCTCTGAGATCTTGTATAAAGTGCTTCTTACTGCCTTCAAATACATAGTTTGAGACTTCAGTGTACTGTGAATAAAAAGATGAAAAAAAATAGAATTTGGCCCTAAAGCTCTTTCTTTCAAAATGGCTTTTATTGATTTTATTTTTAGATTGTGTCTGGAATAAATGTAGAATTAATGTAAATTTCTTTAAAATTTGGTGAATTGGGAGTATTTGCTTTTCTTATAATTTTCTAAAATTTTTCCCAGGTCAATGAATGGTCATTGAAGATAAGAAAGGAAATGAGAGTTGTTGACAGGCAAATAAGAGGTAAATTATCATTTTATGTCTCCTATTCCTTATCCTCTTGATATATTTTGCATTCATAAAAATGAACTGCATCTCCATCTGTAGGACATAGTTTTATAGTAATGATTTATAACTGTCTTAATTATTTTGCTTTCTAATTATTATAAGAAAAACCAAGATATAATGAACTCAAAGACACTTTACATTTTACAAGAACTAAATCTTTTCTCTGGCCTGGAATTCAGCTATTCAAGGTAGAAGGGCCACGTTCATCCAAGATTTCCTTGAGTCCGGGTTAGTGTTGGAAACAAAGCAGGTGCTCACATTCTATGATAGATAGAGTAATGGCCTCCTAAAGATGTCATGTCCCAATTCCCAGAATCTGTGAATATGTTATCTTACACGGCAAAAGGGAATGCGCAGATTTGATTAAATTTAGGATCTTGAGGTGAAGAGATTATCCTGGTTATCTGGGTGGGAGGAGGGAATGGAGAGTTCTTGTTTAATGGGTTTGAGGTGCAGTTTTGATAGCTCTGAGGGTTCTGGAGACAGATGGTGGTGATAGTTCACTACAGTATGGATGTACTTAATACCACCAATTGTGTATTTTAAAATAGTTTAGGATAGTGAATTTTATGTTATGGTATTTTACCACAATAGAAAAAATCTCCGCTATTCCTAAAGCATATAATGTCTTCCCTCTAGTGGATGCGTGATGATACTTTTAATATGTTCAGGTTTTCCCTAAGTTGCAGGTTTTTATAAGTCATTAATGAATGTACCGAGATGCTGCTCCTGTAACTGTGGGAATACTACGCACTGACGATCAGAGCAAGCTCTAGAATGCTGTACCAACAAATGTTTCAGTGCGCTTGCAAAAGCAGTTTTGAAATTTTGTCTGGTGTAGTAGGATTCACTTTTCTGTTCACTCTTACATCGCTTTAATTTTCTGGAAATAAGAATAGCCAGCACATGAGTTATTTTCATTTCATGAATATCCTCCTGTCCGTTTTCCTTTTTAACAGACACATTTAGATTACAATAAGGACAGATTTCAGCGCCAATGACTCTCCTGGTTTCCCCTTAATCTTTTGGCGCTTTGTGTTACGTTCTAAATTTAGATATCCAAAGAGAAGAAGAAAAAGTGAAACGATCTGTGAAAGACGCTGCCAAGAAGGGTCAGAAGGATGTCTGTGTGGTTCTCGCCAAGGAGATGATCAGGTCGAGGAAGGCTGTGAGCAAGCTCTACGCGTCCAAAGCCCACATGAACTCCGTGCTCATGGGGATGAAGAACCAGCTGGGTGAGGCGCGGCGCCCTGCAGCCCCCGCCCCAGTCCGATGCTCTTGCAGTCGCTGTCACGCTGATCTCCTTGGACAGGAGGAGCAGTCTCGGCTCTGGTTTTTATTCTTCATGTTGTCTTAGTTGAGGTGTTACACAAATGCGAACTGTCCTTATTACTCTCATTTTAATTTTATTATTATTTTCTTTTGCCAGCGTTGTTGAAGTAATGGAAAAATCTATATATAAATACACTTTGTTTAGAATTTAGACTGTATTTCCTCAAGTGAACAATGTTGTAAAGTGAGCTAAGAGTTGAGTTATAGGAATGAGAAGTGGGTCCATACCTTGGAAGGAGGATGAAGGAAAGAGTTCCCTCTGTCCCAGGCTCAGGGACACCCAGGCAGGATTTTAAATAGTTTGTCTTTAGCTTTCACTCACCTCCTTTCCTGCCTCAGCTCTGGCTCTCAAAAATGGTTTCTTACATCTTAGGAACCTGCAGGCCATGTGATGGGTATTTAGCATATATGTGAACTATCAGTCTAATTTTTTAAAACTCATTATAATATTTAAAATAAAAATAAATATGATTTAGTTTCCTTTCAGTGTCCAGTATAATACTGTTTATGACCTTTCACAGGCATCTGTCTCCAGGTCAGTGACAGCTTGGTTCATAGGTTAAATTTCATATCCAGTTGGTTTCTTTTCTTAATTTCTGTTAAGTGAAAAAATCGTAACTCAGAATTATAGTTCCTTGAGAATGGTAGCAAGTGACTGTCAGATAGTAGACTGAGTACAGACTCAGAAATTACAGGGAGCTTTTTCACTAAAAAATAACCTCGACTGTCAGTTTCCACATTGCTGAGTACGTCACACTCAGGAATTAGAAGACTTGAATGTTTCAGTTTGGAGGCTGGTGCCAAATGAGCACCTAATCCATAACTGATTGTATTTGGCTCGGAAGGTGCTTCTTTATGTTCAGTTTTAACATTTGGATGTGCTTTTTAATATGCCTAATAGTGAATGATTCGAGTTTCTTTCTCCAAATACTGAAGAAAATGACCCACGGATTGAGAAAGAGTAAAAAGTAAGACAAACTGTACCATATCTTCTTAACTTTTAACAGCTGTGTTATTTCAGCCTGGAAGTGATGTATTTGGGCTCTTTAAATATTGGATATATAACCTAGATATATGCCTTTTGGACAGACCAAGTATTCAGTACTATGAAGATGTAGTCTGATCTTACCTGTCATTTTGAAAGCTTAACTGAACATACTTGCCTTTTATTGCTGTCATTGAAAGTTTCATGTACTCCCCTCTTTTTGTTGCAGCCTGCTGAACATGTTCAGTGACCAAGATTAGCTAATTTTTATATTTTTCAGTATTTCCTTTACTGAATCAGCATTAGAAAATGTATGGTTTATTTTGCCTTTTTCCCCTCCTATGAAATGCAGAGACTTTTTCTCCCTAGTTGCAAAGATAAAATGGCACACAGGATAAAATACTGGATGATGATGATGTAGCTAACACTCAGAACCAGTAAAACTTGATATTTTGTTATATTTGCCTCAGTCTTTATATTACAAAAGAAAGAAAGCAGTATTACTAAAGTTGAAGCTTCTTTCATATGCCTTCCTAATTCCATTTCCTTCTCTTTATTCCTCCCCAGCAAGAACTACTATCATGAATATTAAAATTTGTATAAATGGTATTCTGTATGTACCATTCTGCATTTTTTTTGCATTTATCATCATGTTGTTGGGACATAACCCATGATGATGAATACATTTTTAACTCCTGGATGGTATTCCATCCTCTGAATGTATCACATTTTGTTTTTTCTCTTCCCCTATTGATGGACTGTTAAGCTGTTTTCAGTTTTCACTGTTACTAACAGTGCTGCTGGGAAGAATGTCTTTTCGCTTTTGCACATGTGTTTCTTGAGGACAGTTAAATCCTTAGAAGTAGAACTGCTGGGTTAAAAATAGCTGGGTTGAAGTTTTGCTAGAATTGCAAAATTGCTCTCCAAAGAGGCCTTACTAATTGGTATTCCCACCACCATCAGCAGCAGACAGCTCTTTTTTCCCTACCTTTCCACCAACCCTTGTCAGTCTTTTTAGTTTTTGAGAAGTGTTGTAACATTTCTCTGGGAACTAGTGGGCTTGATCACTGCCTTCTGCTCACCTTTTCTTCCTATGTACTGATTCCAAAATACCTTTTCAAGCAATTGTAGCTCACAAGTATTAATGAAAAAGAATCTCTTCTCCTGTAGCCTGTACTTTCAGTGGTGAACATAACCATGAGTCTGTTATCCTTTAAATATATATCCATAGCAACATACTGTGTTGTTTATTTCAAATATGTATCATTTTGTGGCTTTATCACGTCTGAAAAGTAAAATATCTGCCCTTTGATACTTACGTGTTGAAGTGCGCCTGGGCTCCGTCCCAGGTCCTCTGCTCTTTTCCACCTTTCCTCTCTCTCCGAAGGTGATCTCATCTAACCTCCTGCCTTTAAATGCCATCGATTTCCAAATTTTTATCCTTAGACCTGACTTTATTGCCTAGTGTATAGTTGGCCTCTCCACTCATATATAAGTATGTCAAACTAGTATGCCCGTGCAAAAATCTTGGGTGGTTTTACTTCATCTGTATCTCCACCTGCTCCCTGTGGTTTCCCGTGGGAGCCCAAGACATTGTATAATTTCATCTGTAGATATTTCCACATGGATTTCTAAAATACAAAGTTTCCGTCCCTTCAATTCCTTGGTCCTTCTTTTCTCAGATACATTCATGTGATCATTTCCTTTCCAGTGTATTTTCTGTTTGTTTCTGAAAGGAAAAGATTTGAGTCAGTTGTTAGATTTCCCAGACTGATCCTTTAATATTTTTTATCTTTCCTAGTTTCCATTTTGAAGATAGTAAGAGTACTTTCCTCCTAGGATGGTTGTGAGACTTAATTCAGTGCATGACACACGCTGTACACGTAGGCTCTAAATATTATTGTCATTATCATCATCGGTTTTGTCTTTGTGTTCTGCTTCCTGAGAAATTTGTTCAATTTAATCTTCCATTTCTTCTCTTGAATTCTTTATTTTGACTCCCTTAATTTTAATTTTCAGGAAGGAGTTCTCTGATAGTTCTTTTTTAAAAACAATCATCTGTCCTTATTTCATGAATACAGTTTGTTCTTTATTATTGATAGTCTTAAAAAAATTTTTTCTTATGTTCTTTGCATTGTCTTTCAGAGCTCCTTCTCCCTGCCACCCCTTTCTTCCTTATCTCTGTCCTCTTTTTTAAGAAAACGAGAGAGAGGGAGGGAAGGGAGTGGGGAGGAGGAGTAAGAATCGGTTTCAGGAGGACCTTCCAGTCTTCTCAGGGAGGTAGATGAAGCTACAAAGAGCAAACTGGTAAGTCATGTAATAAACCCATTTCCTTTCACCCCTATGTGCCAGATCCATTGCTGGGCACCAGGGATAAAATAGTGGACATTACATTGCCCCCTAGGTATGGAGTAAAAAACAAATAGTCAGATACATTTAATAAAAATCAAAGTACCTAATAATAATAAATAATAAACTTAATAATCAAATAAATGGATATTTATAAATGCAACCTGTGATGAGCACTGGGGACTGTGAAAAGGAGACGCAGTCCAGGTGGCTCCTTCCAGGCACTGCTGATCCTGGAGAAGGATGAGTGATTAAGTGTGTGTGTGTTGGGGGTATTGTTCCAGCCAGGGTGTCAGCCAGCGTGTGTGAAGGCTCTGGGGCCAAAAAGAACTGTGTACTCAACCACAGGAGGAAGTTCTGGGAGGCTGGGGGACCTGCGAGCAAGGGGGAAGGGTGGCCAGAGAGGATGTGCAGGGCGGTGACACAGCAGTTGTTACAGTTGTGAGGAGAGCATGTGGCTTTTCAGAGACAGGTTCAGACTGAGACGTGCTGGGGCGATGCTGCACGTAGTCTGCAGCGGGAGTTCAGAGGAAGAGCTTGGGGGAGAACCAGAGAGGCCTCCGGGTGGAGGGATCAGGCTGCACAAAGGCATAGGGGAAGCAGGTTGGGCTGTGTCCTGCACTTGGCTCGGTTTGACAAGAGTGCAGGAGAGAGGGCATCGGGAGGTGAGGCTAGAAAGGTGATCTGGAGCCAGAGCTCTGAGAGCTGAGATTTCATTTCTCAGGCAGTGGAGGCCGCAGGTGCAGGGAGGCCCTGATGCAGCAAGCCGGGAGGCAGTGGGCCCTGCAGGGCGGTGGGCAGGGCCGGACTGGGCTCGCCTAATGGGACGAGTGGCAGAGACGACGCTTGGTTTTGACTTTTCAGTGTATAGCATACACTGATTTTGGCCTTTTGAAAGTTCACTTCCCCAATTATGTTTGACTGGTTATCAAACTAAGTATTGTTGGAATTAGTTTTATTGCTAAGTTCATTTTTGTGTCTCTTTTCCCCATAATACTGACTTTTCCTTTTCTTGTTTAACACTCAGAAATTTATACCTTTTCCAAAATACAAATGTTTCAGTATCTAAGACTTGTCGTGCCATTTTCTTCTGTCATCTGTCTTTTTATTTTTTATTAATTCAGCTCAAAAAAGTTTATTGAGCACATGTCATATTCAGCCACTCTCTCTGGGATACAGACTCAGGATGCAAATTAGGATAAAATATGGGCCTATGTAGACATCAAACTTACCATTCAAAGAGGACTGCACAGAATTGGCTTTATTTTTAACTCTTCTTCCAATCCCTTACCTTTTTACAATAATCAATAGTAACTTTAACATTTCAGAATTTCTTTCTTGTATCATTATAATAGTATATATAATTTATTATTCATTTCAGTCGTATAGATTCTTGACACCTTCTCTGTAATTATACTGATCTTAATAAATAAATATTTTACGTTCCCTTTCCAATGTTGAGGAAATGAAGTATTCTCTGCAAGCAGCAAACTTCTTTACTCCTTAGGAAAAATCACAAAGTTGTGTGTGTCGCAAACAGGCACTTCCCTGGTCACTCTTGTTTTCTTGTGTCTTGTTTTCCTTAGATGTGACAGCTTCCTGGAGTCTGGATTCAGGCAGATGTAGATGGTGGTGACTCCCAGCGTAGCTGAAGGCCCTGTGTTCCAGTTTTGATAAAAAACTGGGTGTGAGGCAGTTCTCAGAACTTTAAGTCTCATGAAATTTCAAAACAGATTTGAAGGGTTTGGCTGCCAACTCTTTATTTTGACGTGTTAAAGACTTTTGGGGGAAAATGATCATTTGCTACTACCATGATTTCTTATAGAGAATATATAGTGTGTATATGATCTCAGACTACAGGAAAATTTTCACAACCGGGGAGCTGTAACTGACACACTTTCTCTCATTTCCTGCGAACCAGAGGCAGGTTCCTCCCAGAGCGGCCACCATCTGTAGGCTGGTGTAAGGGGGCCACTGCTTGAATAGCCTAGAGCCTGCTCTTCCAGTGTGGCCCTGGCAAGGCCTCGAGCCGTTCCTCCTGTGTGTGACTTGTCCTGGGTGTCACAGTTGTTCCTAGCTGGCTTCCTTCCCTGAAGGTCAGACGCAGGCCTTGAGGCCATTCTCCAGATCGGCTGTTTGCTGTGGGTGCTCGGAGAATCTGTACCTGTTTAGAAAAGTCGCTCTCGGTCGGCCAGCACATAATGCCTTCTGCAGGTATACAAATAGCTTTGGGAGTCCGCCCACGACTGCTGCCTTTTATTAGAATAGCTTGCGGTTTGACTGTCCTTCTTTTTCCATCCTGCGTCACATTCTGTTGAGCAGTCCTGACGGTTACCTTTCCCTTTCAGCGGTTTTGCGAGTGGCTGGTTCCCTGCAGAAGAGCACAGAGGTGATGAAGGCCATGCAGAGTCTTGTGAAGATCCCAGAAATCCAGGCCACCATGCGAGAGCTGTCCAAAGAGATGATGAAGGTGACCTGGGGCTGACCCCGCATCCCACTCCAAGGCACTAAGAGTCACTCTCAGCAAGTGGCAGGGGGTCTCCAGGGCTGGGCAGGAATAGACAGACCACTGTTACCAGACGGAAATGGTTTTGCAGACAGAGAAGCAGCTGTTAATGCTGGTTGAAACCGTCTGAGCTGAGCATGTCAGAGGCTGGGTCAGATTGCCAGACTGTTCCTTAGAAGAAGTGTAAGTTATAATATACCCAGGCCTCTGGGCGAGGTGGGGGATCCAGGGAGCAATGTCTAGCATTCAGGGAGCTAGGGTTTATGAGGACATGAACAAGGAAACAGGAAAAGCCCCAGGTTCGTCTGTTTGATCCAGGGGCGTGTCTGTGAAGCTGGCAAGGGGGGTGGTTCTAGACCAGGGGTTGGCAAACGTTTTTGTAAAGAGCTGGATACTAAACGTATTTTCTACTTTATGGGCCACACATCTCTGTTGTAACTACTCAGCCCTGCTTTGTAGCGTGAAAGCAGCAGTAGATAATATGTACACAAAAGTGCATGACTGTGTTCTAATAAAACTTTATTTATAAAAGTGGGCAGTGGACTGGGTTTGGCCCACAGGCTGTAGTTGGCTGACCCCTGTTTCAGACAAGAACCCAGTAGAAAGCAGTAAACACCTGCCCCCCCCCCCCGGATCGGGGCCTGGCAGGGACCTATACTGGTGGCCTTCCAGTGGGAGCCAGGGCTCAGCAGGGCAGAGCTCTGAGCCCACTGCCGGCCAGCGGCACCACACACAGGCTGTGCTGGAGTCTCCCCAGCCCCCGTTTTACACGGCAGTAGGAAGCTGAGACTTCAGGTGCCAGGTCGCTTCCCTGAGGGACCTTGGTAGTAAGTGGCAGATCTGGGGTGGGGCACACAGGTGCCTGAGCTGCCTCAGAGGACATGGGGATAGGAAGGGCCCCCCCGTGGCCTGAGAGCCAAGACTGTACACCTCAAATTCTTGTGTACAGTCTGTGCATAGAAATTGCCACCCTTCCTTCTTGGGAATTTTATGTATGAACTTGACTGTATACAGGGCTGTAGGGCATGGAAGTGAGGGACTGGAGGAGAAAACCGACGGAACAGAAAGGCAACACGAGAAGCCCGGAGCCCAGGTCTTCAGAATGAGAAATCCCGGGGCAGGCAGTAGGAGAACCCGGTCAGCTGGGTGTGTCCTTCAGAAGCGGTGTGCGGACGTCCATCCCCCGAGTTTGGTACCTGCCATCTAGGACCGGGTCACTGGGCAGTTCTTGGAGTGACTTCAGGCCTGCTCACTCTGACTCTTGCAGCCTCCAGGGTCTGAGGGGGGAAGCCTTTGTTTTTTTGGTATGCGGGATCTTTTTCAAAAAAGTTCCTGAATCCTGAAAATAATACAAATGTGGAGGAGGCCCTGCATGTGGTAGACAGTAAATATTTCCTGAATTTATCCAGGGATGCATCCCCTGGTTCAGACTGAAACCTCGGGGGGGCCCTGGCTCGTTGAGGACCAGGACATGATCTTAGTCATTCCGTTTGTCTCCAGACCTAGCCTGCTGTGCCGCACAGAGCGGGCACTGGCAAATGGCTGCTGGTTGGATGAATGAATTGGATAAATGAATGGCCACTTGTGCCTCCAAGCTGTGGAGGGCTGTTCAAGTCTGGGTTCCTGTAGGCTCTTCTAACCTGCTTAGTATGTATGGACCCTCTTCTATAGTAGCCTCCAGCACCAAGATGACATCCATTCACCGAGGCCAGAGGGCTCCATGTGTGACCTTGAAAGTGACTGTGTTTACTTGTTCATTTTGGTCTGAGGATGGGCAGAATGTGGTGCTGGCCAGAGTCATGTCATTGAGAGTCACTTGAGTGGTCTGACCCAAAAGGCAGGCAGGAGAGGAGAGGGCCTGCGTTAAATCTGGTGCCATCAGCATGGTCAGTGAGAGCCCTGCCCTGCCTGAGTGCAGGGGAGCCGGGGCCGGAGCTGCCGCCTGTGACCTTCCACTCCTATGACACCGCTCAGCCAGGAAGACTTCAGGGCCTGCTTGCGTTGGCCGGTGTTAGGGAGCGTTCTTCTTGTGCCTGTAGTGGGGCTGTGTGACCTTGAGAACAGAGGAGGCTGCCAGGCACCGGGCTCCCAGTGGACAGTGTGGGCACTGCCTTTCTGGTCCAGAAATGCAGTCTTGTCAGTTATCTCAGGCTTTGGTGAATTGATTCATCCTTGCCAGGCCCACCAGACTGACCCTGTGCCAGCAGCTATAACTTGGACAGCTCTTTTCGGGGTTTCCTGGAGCCCCCTGGGCTCTTGGTATTTGTCATCATAGTGCCTACCTACTCCAGCCAACTTTCATACTGTGTTTCAACTCCTGCACTCATAGATTAGCGATGTTCAGGTAAATGCTTCCTAAGACAGCACACTCTCATCCCAGCAAGTTGTTCCCCGTGCGCTGCCATTATCATCCAAGTTACTTTGTGAAGCTCTGCTGCTGGAGGCCCCTCTCCAACCTTGGTGCGAAATTTGGAGAGCAGTGTCTCTTTGGCCTTTGGCCTTCCTGCAAAGAGGGCAGACGGCACCCAGTGCTTCCTGTGGCCAGCCGTCTGCAGGTCAGCACTTGAAAGGGTGGACTCGACTTGGGCCACCAGAGCTCGGCTGGTGCTGGACCCATAGGTGTGTCTGCTGGGAACAGATGAACCGTTGCGGGAAGTGACGTGGTTTATTCTGTGTTTAGGCTGGGATCATAGAAGAGATGTTAGAGGACACTTTTGAGAGCATGGACGATCAGGAAGAAATGGAGGAAGCAGCAGAAATGGAAATTGACAAAATTCTGTTTGAAATCACAGCAGGTATGACCTGAGATCTTCCTCTCTCTCTCTCCTCCTCTTACAGTGGTTCTTCCCACGTTCACAGAATTAACTGCTTTTTCTTTAGGCTGTAACTCCCATACTTCTACATTTCTTGTTTTAGATTATCAAGTTGTTACTTGAAAAAATAAGGATGGTGTCTATAACCATCTTTTAAAAAACGCAGAGATAGACTGACTTTTTGCTCTCACACACTGCTGTTGGGAGCTTAACGTGGTACAGGCTTTCCTGGCAGTTCGGCAGTAACTGTCTGAAACTCTTGACCTGAGCGTGGCTTCTGGGAGGTTACCCTAGCAATTAAGGATGTGCTGAAAGAGTTAACTCAAGGATGTCCATAGTAGCGTTATTTATGATATTGAAAAGTTTGAAACAAGCTAAATGCGTAATAATAGAATATTGGTTGAGTTAATTACGTTACACCTATTATAATGGAATACCTCATAATTATGATAGATAACACAGAAAGGTATTTAATGACGTGGAAAGATGTTCCCAATATATTATGTGAAGAAAGCACTGTTACTGAAATACACACTTTTTTTTTTTTGAATTTTTAGAAATCTATTTATGTTAACATTTTGGTATATTTTTCCAGTTTTGTTTTCTATACATAGGTTTACAAAAATATTTTTAAAACATTATAGAGATACAATTCTGTGTGCTTCATTTTGTAATAAACTGCTAACATATAACTTATAAATGAATATTTAAATTGTTGAATAATATATTGGTTAGATACTATCAATTTAAATAATTCATTGTATTTTTGAACATTACAGTTATTTCTTTTTTTTTAACATTTTTTATTGATTTATAAT